AAAAGAAGAGGTATTTGATTATCTTCTTACTTCTGTGAAATTCAAACTCAATAGCTGGAAATCAAACTTGCTAAGCCCTGTTGGGAAGTGTTGCTCAAAGCTGTGGTTCAAGCTCTTCCCATTTTCTCTATGTCTTGCTTTAAAATTCCACTAACTCTTTGTTTAGAGATATCCAAATTGTGTGCTGAGTTCTGGTGGAGATCAGGTAATCAGGATACTAAGGACATTCACTGGAAGAAATGAACTCTTCTTACTTTTCAAAATTTCAAGGAGGTCTGGGTTTTCTTGATTTCAGATTGTTCAATCATGCATTGATTTGTAAGCAGCTCTAGAGGATTGCTACCAATCCTCAACTCCTTGTTAGCAGAATTCTGAAGGATAGGTACTTTCCTAACCATTCTCTTGTTCATGCTGTCAAAAGTCAGAGTGGGTCTTGGATGTGGAACTCTTGGATAGATATGATGCCTGTTTTTTCTCAGTGGCTTAAAGTTGAAATCAGAAATGGTGTCAATACTAGAATTGCAGATATAAATTGGGTTCCCAATATTTCCAAACCTGCTCCCCACGTTTTGGAGCTTGCCAGGGATCATCTAATTTGGGTCAAGGACTTGCTGTTGGCTATTGGCAGAGACTGGAATGAATGACTCATCAAACAGGTATTCTCTGATCAAGACAGTGTAGCCATTCTAAGTATCACCACTTTGAAACCTAACAAAGAAGATAGACTGTACTGGGGGCTCCATCAGAAAGGCATATTTACAGTTTCTAGCACTTATGCTCATCTTGGTGATAAGAAGCTTTCACAACTGGACATTTCTGAATGCAGTTCTTCTACTTCTAAAAAGAAAGCCCTCTTGTACAGATGCTGGAAACTGAAGATTATGAACAAGATCAAACACTTTCTTTGGAAATGTATTTCATGTACTCTCCCTATGGCAACTCATCTGAAGAAAAAAGGTCTTGACATTGACACTACCTGTACCATCTGTGGAGCATATCCTGAAACTGTGGAACACTTGTTATTTTCATGCTCAAGCGCTAAGAGATTATAGGATTTATCACCAGTGCAATGGGACACAAAGACTTGCAGCTCTGAAACCTTTAATGGATGGTGGCAACAAGTCTGCTCTCTTGACTCTTCAGAGGTAGCTGAAGCAAGAATTCAATTGTGTACTTACCTGCTTTGGTGGCTCTAGAAGTCAAGAAACCTGTGAGTCTTCCAAAAGTCCCTCATTCCAGCTCACAGATTGATCATTGCAACTCATTCGAATTGGCAGGAGTACATTCATGCTGCAGGATGATTTATTTATTGTAGCTTTTGATCAGTTGTTTCAGTGTATTTGCTCTGGTTTTTCTTTGTAGTTTGGATTGCTCTTTTTGGTTTTTGGAAATTTATCATCTTGCCAGGCTTTGTAGCAGTGGCGAGTGGTAAATTCCTATTTATTTTCTCTTTTTCCTCTTCTTTGTCCCATTTGTTGAGGTTTTAGGCCATCTCGAATGTGCCTCTCTTTTTCTTTTTTCGGATTGTTGGTGTTATTTGTAATCTGAACTATTTTCTCCTTTGAGACTTAGTAATACAATCTCTATCGTTTCGAAAAAAAAAAAGAACCTAAGGATCTAACTGCAATAACTCTTAAGTTTTTGAAATTGCACTTAAATCCCCAGAAATTATCTAATGTAAATATTTTAAGGTTGGCATTAAATCGACAAACTCCAGTGAAGCTGGAGTCTACATTGGATACTGTAGTCGTCCGAAAATAAAAGGGAAGTTTTGTTATCTTATTCTATTTTATTTTATTCCCTAAATTTTATTCAATTGAACTTATTAATCTGTTTATTATATTAAGAGGAAATCGAGAAGGAATCTACAAGATATCCTTTCCTTGGAACAGCCGCACTTGATTGACAGGAAGCGTCCTACTTACCATGCATAGGAGTCAAAGCGCATAGAAGAACTTCCTTATGTGGCATCAGAATATCGCGAGAAGAACTTACCATACTCGAGATGACTTTCGAATAAGTGAATAAATCTTGAGATCTTGGACGCAGCAATTTATGGGATTGAAGATTGCAAAAAAACTTACCATGTTCGCGATGAGATAAAAAACACTCGCACGTAGAAATAATATACACTTTCGACGAGGGATTGATTTTTATTACATTGAGTGCGAAATGTTCTTCAGTGAAGTGATTAGAGTTTACGTTTATTTTTATGAGTGAGGAGACAAGAGCCTGTTGTCGATCTCATTGAGCTTGAAAAAGTATTCTTTTGATCTGTTATCTTCAGTGTTCGGGAGTAACACTTAGAACGACTTGAGGAATTCGAGTTGTTAAATCCACATGGAATTTGTGGTCGGAAAAGTAGTTGTGTGAGTGATTGCGTTGTAGGTAGTGCAGAGGGAGTTTTCATTGTAAATCCTATTGTAATGGGCCAAACACTTACATATATGAAAGAGTTTTGGAGGGGGAGTGGGATGCTCCCCTGAAGGTTTATGTTTTGTAGAACCCTACTTCCGCAATTGTGTGAATTTACATTTAAGTTTACAGTTTTATGCACTTAGCACAATTCTGGTTTATCTCCCCATAATTTCATTTGGCACCAGAGCGGGTTTTTGTGAGTATATACGAAGATCTTGAGGATCTGTTTATCGAGAAGCCATGAATCATGGTGCTAGATCCATGTCAAGGCCTCCGCAATTAAACGACTCAAACTACTCTTACTGGAAATCGATGATGACCATCTTCCTGCGATCACTTGGGAAAGGTGCTTGGGAAAGTGTAGAGAGTGGATGGACTCATCCAGTTGCAAGGGAAGCACCTACTAATGGAAAAGAGACCTCAGCAGGGGTGGTACTGAAACCAAGAGATCTATGGTCAGATGCTGAAAAATTACAAGAAGAAGTGAACTTTCGAGCCTTGTACGCAATTCTGATGGTCGTCAACCAGACACGACATAAGATAATAGTTAAGTGTACAACTGCAAAGGATGTGTGGTGGATTTTGGGGCGTCGGTTCGAAGGTTCAAAGGCAGTAACATATCCACGAGTGACCATAGCATTCGATGACATCAGAATGAAGGAGGACGAAACCATTGAACTTTATTATGCCAGGTTTTGTGATTTGGTGAATCAAAGTGCAATGCTAGGAGAGGAGATCTCGGAAACTCATCAAGTCCAGAAAATTATGAAGACGTCACTGTTAGGGTATACTGCTAAAGCTCGGCTTTTAGTTTCTGAAAATACCATTTTGAATGACATTCATGTTTTAGTCAAGTATATGTGTCTGCAGTTTATTTATTTATGCGAGCACAAGTTTCTTTATTTTGCATTGTAGATAATATGGTTCGATGTGTCGAACAGAAAGATCATATTGTCAATTCCTTGTAAAATATAAATAAATAATTCTCAGTCTAGACAGAATTGAACAACCTGTTGGAAAACAACTATAGTGTAATTTTGATTTAGTTGATCTTTGACTGATGAATTCCACTAGTACTTTGTGAGTATTGAATGGACCACATACGAGAAGTTTATTGGAATATTGATCAAGTAAATAATCTTGACCTCAGTAATTGATGTTGTAACGCCCCGTTATTTTTAAGTGAAAAATAACATTTTATTTTTTTTTTCAAAAAATCAGAGTTAATTTTTCAAAAATCAATTTAAAGATTTATTTAACGGACGCTACTCGAATAATCACATAAAAATCATCCTGAACATACATATCTCATGCCAAACAATAGCGTTTATTCAATCATGTGGAATACTCAAATAAAATTCAAGATGATCAACATATCCAAACTCCAGAGTCATAATAATAATCCAAATAACAATCCAGTTCTGAAAATCCCAAACAAGCATTAAAAATCCCAAAACAGCATATTCAGTCTCCAAACGGAAATAACTAAATCTAACATGAGAAAATCAAATGATAATAGTCAAGCGGAAGCAGGTAATTAAGAGATCAGCACATATAATGACCCCGCCGCGCTCGTCTTTCGCCACGACCACCAGCTCAACCTGAAAGATAGTTAATAGTGGGAGTGAGCAACTTAGCTCACCATACCATGCAGTATAATCAATATAAAGACTTAAAATCATGGTCGCAGTATGTAAGCAGATCGGCTAGTCTACCCTCCCTCAACCTAGCCATTCATGTGATCACACCTAATCCTACCAGACAAAACCCAAGTAGGTACAGCCGCTATGCAAGGACGGGAGCCGTCAATATAACCAAAGACGGGAGCAACTGCAGAGGTAACCTGCACACGGACTAAGCTCTTTAAAGGCTAGAGTTAGGCCTCATAGACTACCGGTTCACATGCATACATAGGTCATCAAGCCAAGCATTTATATAAATTAACATACATGGTATTTAAATCAACTCTCACCTGATACTGCAGAGGATGATGGTGAATTCACGTTCAAACAAGAGCGAGGGCTCGACTCCTCTTAATCTTCTTTGGGACTAAGGCCACGCCCGAAGAAAAAGCTAGGGTCAAGTATAAAGCTATCGGAGATGGCTCGACGCGCTGTTGCTCTCAGCCCGGGTGTCAATTGATCTGCTCAGTAGCCCGCTGGAACCGGGGAGGCAGTGCAGTGGTGGTTCGCGGCTGCCAGCGTGCGTGCGGGCTGAGCAGCGGCTCAGCGTGGCACACGTGGGTGTCTTTAGCAAGGTGAAAGATTGCGGCTTCCTCGACAAGGCTCGGTTTAGACTCGCGGTGGCTCGGTTTTTCCTTGGTGGAGATTTGCGATTCTCCGGTGAGGCGTTGTTCGAACAAGGACGGTCGCTGGTGGTCTGTGGATCTGCGGGAAAAGACTGTTGTGGGTGGACGATGGCGATCGGGAAAACGCCGGGAGGAGGAGAAAGTTGTTCGCTACTCGCTGTAGTTCAAGGGTCGGTCTCGTCGACGAAGGGGTACGGCTGGTCATGGTGGTAGCGATGGTGGTCGGGTGTCACAGATTCGCGACGACTCAGAGGCAATTGGTCGCGACTGTGTAATGTTGGCGGGCTGGAGGAGAAAGGACGTGTGAAGCTGATGGAAATTTTGGAGAAAGAGGGCCGAGGGTTTGAATTTTTCGGATCTGTTCGAATTTTGAGCGAGAAGAAAGGGTTGATGGTTGGTGTTGCGAGAGAGAAGAGATTTGAGAATTGATACGGATATTTCTCTCTCTTCACGCTTATAAGGACAAAATTTGAGGGAAAAGATGTAATGCTATCAATTAGGATAATTATCCCTTAAAGAGTAGCTTAATTGGCACATAAACCTCAATAAAATCGATCAAAGATGTGTTTTGAAATTCAAGCTCAAGTATAGTGCCATCATATGTCTTTGGGCCGCAATATTGGGTCAATTGGGTCGACATGACTCGAAAACGAATTAAAACAGATAAATGTTCGGTTTACGCGATTAAACCGAAAATCGTCGAAAACAATTAAAATCTTATTCAAATAGATCCTAATAATTCTAACACATAAATAATTAAATTAAACCACACAATCATTCACATAAATATATCACATAGCAATAAAATATATAAGCAGATAAATAAGGCAGACAGAGACGAGCAGTTTATAAACAATAAATCGAGCAATTAATATAAAACAAGGGAAATAATCAAATAAATTTCAAATAAATAATATAATATTCAAAAAAATTTAATAACCGAACGGAGCGTTACAGATGCGTTCTCTTAAGTCGTAAAATATTAAACGGACATATGTACTCATAATTTATTTATTTGATTTGCCAAGGGTGATTCCTATTTTAATTAGGATGACATACTCGGTAATCGGTATTTTGGTAAATAATGATGTTTATATGGTGTGTTGTTAAAATTATTTTCGGTCACTATCTCCCGTTCCCTTGGGTTGATGACGTTCCCGAAATGAGCTCAGGAAGGATTAAAGTCCAACACAATGATTAAAAAACTCAGTGGTACTAATTTCGGATCCGAGAGATAAAAGAAATTGATTAATTATATTGTCAGTAATTAAATTAATCGGACGTTATATCTTAAACATATGGAGGTAAATCGATCAATTAAATTAATTACATAGGGGTTCGAATTTATTTAATAAATTGGAGCTAAATGGGGAGACTAATAATAATACTCAAGTGAGATGTTTTATTATTTATTCAAATAGGACTAGAATTTTCCTAAGTCGGAGAATCTAATTCTTTCTAGAATATTACCAAAGTTCGGAAGACATGGAGTCTTCTGGTAGGGTAATTAAGTTGGAAAGGATTAGAACTTCTAGAAGGGAAAGGAGTTGGAAGATTTTATGTTTCCTAACCTATTTGAAGAAGCTCATATTTAGCACATCCTTAATATCCCTAATTCTAAAGTCTTTCTAGCCCCCAACTAACTTTTTTAAGCCTAAACCTCCGAGAAAATTTCTTTATGAAAGTATTTCTCCTTAATGGCTTTACTCATCAACAAGTAAGGATTTGGTGATATTCTCCGAAGTTGTTTGCCAGAAGAGCATCATTGAAAGCAAACATATTCTTAAAACCCAGCCCTCCCTCTAACTTGTAATAAGCTAATCAATCCCAAGAAGCCAAATGTACTCATTTTTTCCTTCCAGATCTTTTCCCCACTAAATGTCAGCAGCAATTCTTTAAATGTCTTAACAGACTGACACAAACAATTTAAAATAAGACATAGTGTAGGTAGGATTGCCCCAGTGAATGTTTATTAAAATCTTCCTTCTTGCTTCACTCAGAAAGTTAATTTTCCAACTGGTAACTCTAGAAATCACTCTCACTCACATACTTACAAGTTTCCTTTTTAGCTATACCTATACCCAAAGGTAACCCTAAGTGCTTAGCGGAACTGACAACTGTGATTTATTGTAGAATTTGGAAAATGTCCTCTTTGGTCTTGATATTAGAATTCTTGAAAAAAGCACAGAAGATTTTTTAAGATTGACTTTCTGGCCTGAGGCAGCACAAGATGATTCAAGGATTTTTCGAATCAAAACAGCATGTTGCACATTGGCTTTACAAAAGATAATGGCATCATCTTCAAAGAAATGGCGACTGATACTAGGAGAAAATTTGTCTATTTTAATACCAATAAAAGAGCTATATATACAAGTCTGCTTTAGTAAGTTAGAAAGAGCTTCAGAAAGAATGATAAACCAATAAGGGGACAGAGGGTCCCCTTGCCTAATACCCTTAAAAGGAGTAAAAAAACCGGAGGGACCTCCACATATATTGAATGAAAAAAAAGCATAACAAATACAAGCAAGAATCCAGGAGACAAATCTATCACAAAAACCATCTTAAGACATGCAAAGGAAACAAAGAGCCACTCAACTCTGTCATAGGCCTTGGCCATATCCAGTTTGAGGGCCATAAAGCAGCTTTTCTTAGCTTCTACCATTCAGATAGTGCACACATTCATTGGCAATAACATCATTGTCTAAAATTTGCCTTTCAGGTACAAAAGAAGATTGGTTAAGAGAAATGCAAACATTCAGAACCCTCTTCAATCTATTGGCTAGAATATTTCCAATTATTTTATAAGTCACAGTGCACATGCTTATGGGTCTAAAGTCCGAAACTCTTTCGGGATTTTTTATTTTAGGGATTAAGGTAATAAGAGTATGATTGGTTGCTTTGGAGATTCTACTGTGGTTGTAAAAACCACTCACATTAATAAGATAGGTCAATTGAACCTTCCCTCTCCCGAGATTCAGCCTTGCAAAAGTTGGTTCTTATAGTGTTCCAGGAAGATTGGAAAAAAGGGGAGTCATCCCATCAATGCCCGGGGCCTTTTGGATCCATACTAAAAAGAGCATCTTTAATTTCTTCCTCCTCTACAGGCTTAATACGGTCTTGGCTCATTTCTACAATGATGGAGGCAGGAATACCACTAAGGTCACAACTATTCAAAGAGGGATCAGAGGTCATAAAACGATCCTTAAAATATCCTAAGATTTCTTCTAGGATTTTCACTTTACTCCTACACCTATGACTTCTTTTATTAAGAAGGTTATCTAAGTTGTTGAATTTTCTTCTCTGGCTCACATAAGCTTGAAAGAATTTAGTACTATTATCTCCTTCTTTATGCCACTGAACTCTAGATTTCTGTTTCCAAAACAATTCCTTCTCTATATAAGCTTGATTCAGAGTTTCTTTACAATTTTTCCAATCTACCCAATCCCTATTTTCTCCTAGAGTTCCTAACTCAGTTAACCTAGAGTTGCAATGCTTGATAACTGGGTTGCATTAGTGTAACGCCTCGTTTTAATTTAAAGAATTTACCGAATTTATTTATAAAAATCAGAGTTATTTTTCGCAAAATCCCAATTTAAAACTTTAATGATTAACGGGCGCTACTTAACTACCGACAGCAAATAAACAATTACGAACAAATATGAAGAACCTACACATGCATAAACTTACAGTTCTAAAACAAATTGTTCAAGTTTCAAAACCATCCCAACATAATCCTGATGTTCAAAGTGGAAGCATAAAATAAGTATTTCAACACGAAACCAATGGTTCAACCAACGTGTTCGAAGTTATTTGAAACGGAAACATAATAATCCTAAGTAAATCAAATAACCCAACATAGATAATAAAAGCGGAAGCAAAAGACACATCAATCCAAAGACCACCACTCGATCGTCTCTCGCTGCCGCCGCCAACCATGCTCAACCTACAGATAGGAAGAGGAACAAGAGAACAGAAGGAATGGGGGTGAGTAAAACCATCATACTCACCATTACCGCACAGTATATCTCGCATAAAGATTCATAACTATATATAATGTATGCATAGAATCCAGATCTAACTCCCTATTAGGCCCTATCGCAAACCTCCTATGTACATACAACAAACCTTCTGACCAGACATCGGCAAGGATGTAACCGGATACATTCCCCACCCCGGATGCAACGGGCATATGATCCTTTCCAGGAGACAGTAGAGCTGTTTTTCTCCCTCCGGATACAACGGCACGGGGCGTCACTCCCAGATGCAACGGGCAGGCAACCTCTCACGGATTATGTATTCGTCAAAGGAACTATCGACGGGGCACTTAGACTAGGGTTCTCACGCATACAGAAGCTATCAAGACAAACATTTATACGAAATAACAAGTGCGATAATTATAGATTCAACATAAATGAACCCACTTGATTGTAACGATAAAAATCACAATATACGATTCGAACGGTAGGATTTTGAGGTCAACACCTCCGGACATCTACACGAAATCAAGATAACTCTCGATTACAACTAGTCCAACAAACACTCATCCTTAGTCGAATCCGTCGACTAAATGACTCGTGGAATTATGGAACAGTCGACTCGACTCGAACCAAATATGGAAAAAGGCACATAATGGAGGACCTCAAAATTTACACCACTTACATAACATGTAAGGAGGACCTCATATATTAAAAATCATGCCCAAACTCAAGAGTTAACATGTTCAACCAATAAATCGAGCAAATTGACAACTAACCCTCATTTTCTAGTTGACTAGGCAAATGAACGAATTTTGATTTGAAATTTGAACACATAATAGACATTATTGAGTACATCAATATCACCAAGTTTCCACTTAAACATGCGTTTTTATAAAATTAATACAAGTTTTCGGCAAAACCAAGGGTGAATTTAATGACTGAACAAATGAGTGAATTAAGACTTAATATTATCATGCAAACAACTACAGCATGCTGGGAATGACATATAAAAATCTCAGGCAAAAACAATGATCATGTGATTTATGATAATTATTGCAAGATTCAGAAAAATACAAGTTTTTTATAAAAACTCAACAAAATGAATCCAATAATTTCTGGGCTTTTTAAACTATCAAATACCATATCAAATAAGCATACTGATTGAGTTTCATACATTTACATCAAGAATTCAATTTTTTATGGATTTAACAAGATTCAGCAGATTTGAACAATTAATTATTAACATAGGCAAATGACTTACAAAAATTATGAAAATTTTACACAAGGTACAAACAAATCTGGGGGGCAACATAACCGAATTTCATGATTTTTGGGCAACAATATAATTTTTCACGTATTTTATAAGTTGCGGCAATTACATCAACTTCAAAAATCCATAACTTGAAAAATATAAACCCAAATTGCACAAGGTCAAAACCATTGTGATCAGGA